AGTAAAATTTAATTTACATTTTGGAATATTCTGTAAATAACAAGAAAAATAAATATATTTTATTTTATTTTATGATAATATTCATTTATTGCTTTTTTTTAATTTGTTTTAACTTTAAATGCAGACCGAAAATGGTCCGAATATACTTTCGATGTCACGACAATATGACAGCAAATATTTCAAGATTTATATCTGAGTCCTTTTTATATGGACTGTAATCGGTCGTATATACTTTCAATGAGACGACAATACTTTCAATGAGACGACAATATGACAACAAATATTTCAAAATTTATACCTGAGTCCTTTTTATATGGACTGTAATCGGTCGTATATACTTTCAATGAGACGACAATATGACAACAAATATTTCAAAATTTACATTTGAGTCCTTTTTATACGAACCGTTATTGATCCGAATATATTTTCGATGGCATGACAATATGACAATAAATATTTCACAATTTACATCCGAATCCAATATATTCAGACCGTTATCGGTTTGAAACTATTTTCTATAATTATTTTCCCTAATTATTCAGATTATTTACGATCTGTTATTACTAAATTATTTATTATATTCTTAATGTCCGAACCATTAACGGTCCATAAATTTCAATTTTATACTCACCCTCTAAATTTTTTACCAAAATATACTGTCCAATTTCGGTGTAAATAGTTTAATTTACGGATCAATTTTTTATCGGTCTGTACATTTTATATTTTCATATCAAGTTTTTTCTGTTCAACTATTCAGATTGAATATTTTTTTAGATCGATTTTTAAGTTATACGGACCAAATTTTTTATATGAATATTGATTCCCTGCAGTAGTGTATGGAAACTATTGTTGGAGTTCGAAGAACTTGTCCCCGTAACCGTGCTGCCAACCGCTGACTGATGCCACCAACTTACGCTGTAGTTACAACGGAGACTCCTTGTGAAGTAGGTCAAGGATCCTGGTATCACAAGCTTCCAACTTGTCATTCTTTGTTGCACAGCTGCAAGAGAAAAAAGAAAAGGATGTATAACCAACATAAGCACTCCATTTCTCATCTTATCTTACAGAACTACACCATGAATCTCCTAATTTCACACCATACTACCTTTATGAAATTCTCAAAACTGCCAGGCATTATCTGCCTTGGGATTCATTGTAAGAGTGCTCGTACATAGGGTACCGTATTGATTCCTCAAACATGCCCTAGATGTAACAGAAAATTTATGTTAGAAATTTTATCGGATCAAACAACACTTCACCGTCACAGAAAACGGGACAAAAAATAATTAGTAATAGTTCCATGTAAGAAATTCACATAATTGTGTCAAATAGAATGAGGTTAATTGCTTGCTTTTCTATATAGGTTTCAAAATCTAAGGTGCTGACGAAGAATAAAATATTTTAGAGAGTGTTGACAACAAAAACAACAATGTTCCTGGTATAAATCAATGTTTTCAAAACCGAACCGGTCATTGAACCATTTTCAGGTCCGATTTTCGGTTTGACCGGTTCAACCGATTGAACCAGTGAACCGGCCGGTTCAAACAA